AAAAAAAAAAAAATTTGAATAGCCAATTCATCCTCCTCTTGATTAGCTATTTTTGGACATTCAATTAATTATTATTCTAAAATATCATTATATTAGCAGAGTAATTACTACTCCAGCTCCTTGAAAATCCTTCTCATGAAATCTCATATAAAATGAGTGTCCACAATCATTATAAACTGCCGCGGAAAGCACTTATAAGTAGAGGGTGGGATATTTTGATTATTCTGTTCTGAGAGGAATAATTTCTCTTCATATCGCCGCCACTAATACTATGTATGAATTGCATATTTGATGCTAAAAAAAAGTTAAAATCATGAGGTACGATCCAATGAAATTCGAAATAAAAATACTATGTAAAATTAATAATACTCATATCACAATATAGGGTCAATAAACGTATCAATCTTAGATGTAAAATCAACAATACTAAAAATTCATGATATAATTACATATGTACCTATTTGCTAGGACTTAAAATCTAGATTTTAATTTAAATCAAATTCAAGTCGTCCACAACTTTTCAATCACACATTTCATCCACATTTATCAAAATTTAGTGAAAATCTATTTTTAATCCTCACCAAACAAGGGCATATTATAAATACCGAAAAACAATAATTTTCTCATAAAATAATTTGAAAAAAAAGGTTAAAAAATAAAGATAAAAATTTAGAAATGGCACACTATAATATATGTACAATGTTGTCATTAACACGAGAAAAAATATTTCTTCATAGACTTTTCAATACCCTAAATAGCTTCCAAGCAATGGTCAAGAACCGTGTATCTTAAGACCCATAGTAGTTGAGAGTTTCAAAAATACATTTAAATTCCCTTCTTCCCATTTAAATTCCAATTTCTTGCTCACAACAAGCAAACAGAAATCCATTTTAATTTCATCTTTTCGTGTTTGTGAATCATGTAAAAGTTACACTCTCAAAAGCCCTTTAGTCCTTCATGCAAGTAAGCAAAATTTTTCATGTTCTTGGAGAAGAAATTAAGTATTAATTGAGATTATCGCTTAAGTTTTGTTCTCTTTTTCCGAATATTTTCTCGTAATTTACGAAATTTTCCTCCCTTCATTTCAGCTGGCTTTCGAGAATTCTGTGGTTTTCATTTTACATGTTCAAATTCTTGGAGTGTTTAGCATTTAGTAACGTTAGAAAATACCAAATTTAACAAGAAATCAAACAAGTCGGCAACTAAGTAGCTAGCAATGGAAAGATCGGGAGAAATGAAAGAGGAAACTATGCCACCAGGGTTTCGATTTCATCCTACAGATGAAGAACTCATCACATATTATCTGGTAAATAAGATCTCAGATGCAAATTTTACTGGAAAAGCCATTGCAGATGTTGATCTCAACAAGTGCGAGCCGTGGGATCTTCCAGGTATATTTGTAACCTTAGATCTTGTTACTATGGCAAATTAATATACATAAATTGTATCTATTTTTTGTTTATATGTAGCTAGGGTTTAGCCATAAAACAAGTGAGCATGCATAAAGCTAGGGTTTCTTAAAGATGCAAATAATTAATTAATTTTCTTGATGTTTCTTATGAACAGATCTTCTTTTTCATGAGATATATAGATGATAGTTAGAAGAGAGAACTCATGAAATAAAAGGCTAATTATTTTCGTATTATGTAAATTTTATCTTATAGCTTCATAAATTTAGCATGTTTTGACAAAGACAATAACTTGTAATCCTTAATATGTACTAAGGTTTTTCAATCAAATTTTACAATTTTTTTGTAAAACTTTCTATTAAAGATATATATAGTAATTTCTAGCAATAGTAATGATATAGCAAAGATTTGTAATTTGTCTACAAACTTAGAATTTTTTGTCTAGTTTGATAAATTTTTAATTCTTTTTTTTTTTTTTTTTGGGATTAGGGAAGGCGAAGATGGGAGAAAAAGAATGGTATTTTTTCAACCTCCGCGATCGAAAATATCCGACCGGAGTAAGAACTAATCGTGCCACAAATACTGGATACTGGAAGACCACTGGGAAAGACAAGGAGATCTTTAACAGCAACACCTCTGAGTTAGTTGGGATGAAGAAAACATTAGTTTTTTACAGAGGAAGAGCTCCCAGAGGAGAGAAATCCAACTGGGTCATGCATGAATACCGTATTCATTCCAAATCCGCCTATAGAACAAGCAAGGTACATAGTTTAATTATAAACTGTTTTTTTTCTTGCCTAACAAATTATTTTTGTTAACTACTTTATTTTTCTTATTATATTGGTAATTCTATTTCTTGTAAACTTTCACAATGATTTTAGACTCCCTGATCTCATAGAAATATATAAGTTCAATGAAAAAAAAATTGAAAAAAATAAAAATAATGATGAATTTGTATAACTATTTTTTTCGTTAAAAAGAAACGAGAATTATTATATTTTTTTTTCCCATTTAACTTTACAAGCATATAATTAAAGTATTAGTTTCTAGAATGTGTATATAACTAAATGTTTCATCTTACTAATATTTTGTTCTGAATATATCTTAAATTATTGAATAGGGTTTCATTAACTTTTACAATAAATTCCTCATTGTTACACCTAAATCTTAAGGAAATAATATACTCTACAACAAGATATGTCTTAAACCTTTTCTTAAGAATTCTTACCTGTTTAATGAAAAACAAAGTTAAAAGTACCCAAACGTTCATGGTTTTTATACTTATATAATTTATAGTTATAGTCTTTTAATTTGACAATAATACTTGTCACATAATATACGGGTGAAAACATTAAAAATTATTGCTAAATATTGTGTCATTTCTTGTCCTTCTTGTTTCAATAAAGCTTGACCTAATTTTTTTTCAGCAAGATGAATGGGTGGTATGCCGTGTGTTCCAGAAAAGTGCTGCAGGGAAAAAGTACCCTTCAAACCATTCAAGAGCTGTGAATCCCTACCCTTATAATAATCTCGATTTAAGCCAAATTCCCATGTCCACACAAATGATCCAGCCTGATAATTTCCAGTTTCCGGTGGGACGAAACTATATGATGCCGGCCGAGATGCAAGACTATAATAAAGTCTTCAGATCGAGTGGCTCGACTAGCATGAACGGACAAATCCCACAACATCTTAACTACACCATGGGCGGTGGAGGAGGAGGAGAAGCAGGCATTTTCACCATTTCTGGATTGAATCTGAACCTCAGTGGTGGCGGTGGTGGTGCCCTGACGCAGCCGCCCTTCATGAGGCCACCGCCACCACAGCCACCACCTCCGGTGCCCGCAATCAACCCACAAGATTTGACCTCATCCATGCTGACTGATGCTGCAGGCTATGGAGGGGACATGAATAATGCAAATTCAATGAATAACAGGTTTATGGACATGGGTGATTTAGATAACTACTGGCCTACTTATTAATTTACACTTTGCATGCTTNCAAATTCAATGAATAACAGGTTTATGGACATGGGTGATTTAGATAACTACTGGCCTACTTATTAATTTACACTTTGCATGCTTCAACTCAGAAGATTTGATGAAAATTTCGTGGAGTTCCAATTGTATGATAAATTTGCTTGAATAGGGAGAATTTGAACTAGTTCTATTTCTGCTGCTGCTGCTGCTTGCTTGTACTTTTGGATAATATTGTTCGTGCAGCCACTGGTTATTGAGGGTACAACTCTAGGGCTGGTGTTTGCTAGACTTAATTTTATTAGCTATAGATAGGAATTGCTATGTTTCATGAAGTTCTAATATTATCAGATAGATTGTGTTGGTGTCGTTTTCTATTGTAATCGCTAGAAACTCCGAGAATATTCTATCAATGAGAAGCTATTGTGTGAGAGTGTTTTCGGCGTCGACCTTTCAACACTCAAGTTAAAAACAGCTTATTGTAGGCAAGGATGGATCCAGATTTATGATTAAGTGGGAACGAGACAAAAAATAGACTAAAATATATTGTGAAATAAATCAAAAAATTTGAAAATTTAACTTTATAAAAGCTCAATCGAAGGTTTTTGAAAATTGAGTGAGGGCGGCCCACCTTGCCGGCTCTTAATGAGTCCACCCCTGATGGTACTTTTTTCCGTGAATGAATATTAGGTTTGATCGGCTGGCCCTTATATAAATAGAGAAACTCTTAGAGGACAAAGATGAGCTCAAGCGACATGAGCGAAGTCTTATGACATGGGTTTGAGCCTCTTTTGAAGGTAAGAATGAATATATATATATATACACACACTCCTTAACATTGATGGCCTCACTCTTATATGTGTTGATATCAATAGTAACTATTATTTCGATAAATTATTTCTTGAAAAAAAAAAAGTAAACTATGTAAATACTTTCTTGTAATCTCACTTGAAGGGGAAAAAAATAATCATTGGAAATGACACAATATCTTTGGAAGAATTCTATATAACATCATGCATAATATCATGAAAAATAGTTACAAATTTTAGACTACTACTTTCGAATAGACAATATATGTGAGAAAAATATCTAAAAATCTTAAATATAAACTTTTGTATCATGTCATGGTATGTATATTTATTGATTTCATTTTAAAAATGTTAAAAACCCTCTTCAATGAAAGTGCTTTAATCCCGACTTCAATTTCATTACTTCGGATGTGAGAATGCGAGATTCTAACAAATATTGCAGTCGATGATGAATTTATAGAACGGTTTCATCTACAATAATTGTGCGTGTATGAATCGAACCGTCGAAACTTCGCCCAAGTTTCATTTTCAAAATAGCTCCCGTTGCTCTTTCTCATGATAGTCCCATAATTAAGGAAAAGAAGTATGTTACTATTTTGAGAGTACGAATAAAAATTCTTTATATATGAGAGATACACAGATTACTTAATTAAAAAAATTATGGTTTTGAAAAAAGTGACTTAATTAAATTTGTGCATGTTAAATACTCATTTACGTTGAAAATATGTAACTCTCTTGTTGACTAATTAATCTACTTCACAAAACTTGTAAATTTAATAGATATTTTAGGACAATAATTTGAGGGTCAAATGAAATGACCCTCGTGGGAATTACAAGTAAAATAAAGAAAGATATAGTACACTTTTCTCGACTTTTAAATGAAGATTTTATGTTAGTCCGTTTTGATTTCAATATATTTTCAAGGCTTAGAACAACCTCAAGCTTAGATAGCGCACCGGCAAAGAAAGGATCTAAAACAAATATCGAATATCGGGAGAAGTGAACTTTTTAGAGAATCATGAGAAGATTATTGGACTCCTATTGTGAAATATAATATATTATTAAAATATTATCTAATTTTGAGACTTTTTAAGGGGATTTTTGAGACCTCGAATGCACAAATTGCTAGTGCACAACTTGGGGGAGCTTCTTTTAGACTTTTGGAGCTCAAAAAGAGAGAGAACAAGAGGGAAAAATACAAGAACTTTGAAGAAATTGAGAAGCTTGAAAGAGAAAAGAAGATTATAAAATACAATATTTACTTAATAACTCCTATCATTAGTCAATTATACAATTTTCAAGTTTTTGAAAAACAAAAATTAGAATATTTTTATATTTTCAATTTTCAACTAGACAAGTCCAATAGATTTACAGAAACTTCATACATGCTTTGAAATTTGTAATAAAATGAATTTCAATATCATAATTACATAATATAGATAACACCAAAACTTAAATCTTATTTATCTATTTAGATAGTCATTTTTAACTTTCATACAGATAAAAAATTTTAAAAACTTGAAATTAAAGTCAAATGATTTTTTCAAAAAATAATAATAATAGTAAGCTAAAGTCCAATAAAATACTAAAAAAATGATAAAGCACGTCTACAGAAGACGAAAGAAATGAAAGAAAAAATTCGGCCATTTAAGAATTGGAAAAAAATATATGTATAGGGGCAAAGTGAGGAGTATTGATCGAATTTCGAGCCTGGACGGTGCCTAGGCGCTGATTAAACAAGCTTTTTAGAACACTACTTTTTATTGTTTTAAATGTTTTCCTACTATTTGGTTGTTTTTAGGATATATTTGATAATAATATTGAGATCGAGAGATGAAATGTGTTTTAACTCTCTTAACATATGACACAGACTTCGATAGAGTAGAGAAATATATCATTATGGTTTATACAGTTGAGAATGATGCTTGATTGTGATTCATGCATCATTTTGTATTTGTTAATTCTCATAGAGATGTAAAGAATTCATACATAATAACAATTTTTAATCTAATCGAGGGAGATTGTCGAACATTGAAGGGACATAGATCATCAACACGAGCAAATATGGCCTAGAACTTAATTATAAAAATTAAAATGAATAATTAGATGGAGTCAAAATTTTAGTACTTTCTCACTCTCAAATTTTTTTTCTTGCTCAATTTAGCCATAATCTTATTTTTGTTCTTAAATGCAAACTCGGTGGATCCATCTTAATATGATTGGTACTTAGTGTAATAACAACAAGAAAGTCTTATTTTCAACAGATGTGAAGTCAGTTACATAAATTCTTTTTCATTATTTTGTTATATTCATCTATCGATGCTTCTATTGAAAAATAGTAACGATGTCAAAATAATTATATTGATTATTAACTTATTGCAACTCTCATACTATACTAATCTTTGGTATGGTCATCAAAAATTCAATTGCTGAGATGCATTAAAAAATCGTTACCAATAAATCAAACACGATCCTTTAGACTTCCTCCACAACTCAAGTTGTTTCAACATCGGCATAAAGCACTTCGAAATTTGATTGCTCGCACTTCAATTCACCAAATCAAGGTTCATTTCGTATAATTACTGTGGACTCGAACCAAGATGTTGAGTACATGGTTAAATCCATATTTCCTAACGTGCATATCTTGTAAATTTTGTTCTAAATGTCTATCATCTTAAAATTTACAATGTACAGTTAAACCTCTATAAAGTAATGTTCGATAAAGTAATAACCTCGATTATATAATAATTTCTTTCGATCCCGACTTGGGCCAATGGACTAAAGTAATAACCTCGCTAAATGCATTAAGTAATAAAAAAATTTGAATCCTTAAGGGCCCAATAAAAATATAAAGTAATAATTACTGGATTTCATTGAGAAAAAAAATATATAAATATATATATATAGACCAAAATCTTTCAACCAATCAACAATACCCGTACAATAATCATTCCTTTTGAAAATATGCATCTATAGTTGATTGTTTTTTCTTCCCACCTAAACCAAAATGAACCACAAACTTAACTTTTTGTAAAGCATACACAACTTTCGGAATATTTTGCTCATGTTGTAGCAAGTAGTTGCTTAAGGTGACTATTGCTTGAAATGCCTCTTTTGACGACACATTTGGGACAACGCTACTATCATCTGGTTCAGGATCATTCTCATCATCATTATTGTTCATTACCGATTGAATAATTTCTTCATCTGTAGGTGATTACATAACTACATCATTCTCGTTAGGATAGTTCAAAAGATGTTCAACATCCATCACATTTCTATAGTGTAAATTAGAGATGACATCATTTAATCCTTGGGTACCTTCATCTAATTCACCAACTTCTGGTTCGGGAATATTGTTTTCTTCTGACCGAATCTTGCAATGCCAAAAACAATTTGCAATTGTTGTTGTCTTCACATCAAAATTCCAAGCCATGTTAGCAAAATTAATAGCATTCAAAATATTAATTTTTTCAGGATTTGGTGCTTCAACCTCAAGGCCTTGTAAGATGCTAAAATAAAAACGACGATGATAATGAGCTTTGAATGCTCGAATAATCTCAGCATCACATAGTTGAATCTTAGACGTTGTGTTAGGAGGTAAGAAAAATAACTTTACATTTCTCAAGCCTTCAACTACCTTTGGATGAGCTAGGCAATTGTCTACTATTAAGAGAACCTTCCTGCCATTCATTCTCTTATCAAACCAACCAACAAAATCTTGAAAAAGCAAGCCAGTCATCCAAGCTTTCTTGTTGGATCGATACTTGCAATTAAGATTATTCATGTTCACATTTTTGAAGCATCTAAGATTTGCATACTTACCAATAACCCAAAGTAGTACTTTGTCAGATTCATCACCATTGCAACAAACAACAACAGTAATTCTCTCCTTATCTTTTTTATGTCCTTCAAGCTGCTTGGTAGCAAGTGAATGATCAACTTCCAATCGGTAAAATAATCCAGTTTCATCCATATTGTAAATATTCTTCAACTGAAACTAGTCTAGTTTTGATCGTATTCCAGGTAAAGCATTTTCAATATTCTCCATGATAACTGAACCACTTTCACCAAAATGTCGGTAAGATTTGATTCCATATCTTACCTTGAAACGTTCTAACCATCCACTAGAAAAGTTGAATTCTGGATTAGTTTTACCATACATTTTTTGCAAAAGCTCTTTTGTCATTATACAGCACCGGCACATATTCTGCCCTTTTTCCTATACCTGCAGAATAATTCTTCAAAAAATTAAGTATCTACACATTTTGTTGGGATTGACGCCCAAAAAGAAATTTAAAAAAAAAATTATAAAATATTATTTTACCCTCTTCACTGTTAAATGTCGAATTTCACAATCCCACTACATTTTTACTTTTAAATTCTTAAAATTAATTAGCCTTCCATTTAACTCATTTTAGTTTAAAAAATTTAAGGGATCCCAAACCTTTTTTATTAATTAGATTTTTCTCGAGATCACTAAATTCGAAACAAGAGCAAGTAAGAAGTTCATTCCAAAGAATTTATAAATATTTCACAAATTTAGTCGAAGTTATTTTAACCAAACTTTCATAACTGCTACTCATCAATACATTTCCACTACTATTCCTCTTTATAAACCATTACAAACTTGCCAAACAAAGGCTTAGATAACTTAAGGATCAAGAAATAAATATATTGCACCTACTAATCAATAATATATCAATTTCTTGATGTTTAAATGGTTACAAGAGTACGTTCAGAGCCCCAATATCAATATAAATTATAGAAAAATAGGAAAAAAAAATTGAAAACTACAAAACATGCTAGAAATTTATAGGACGGTTTAATAGCAAAATTAAAAGGAAATTATAATTCAGAACATTACATAGATAATACACAAATTCCTAGGCTAACCATTTGACACTACAAGTGTAATATTTCAAAACTAGAATTTCCTATTGCCATATCCTTCCTTCACAAATGAAATGGAATTTCCAAAAACATTCCCAGCAACTTGAAGCCAAAAGACCAAATCCATCTGCACGAAACGACACAGGAAAAAGAATTGAAGAGTGATTGAGATGAATCATCTGAATTCAAAAACAGAATTTACACTAGGGAATGTAGCCATCTAGTAAAATAGTCTCTCAAATCAAGAAATTGCCCACAAACAAGTTAAGCCTTGTTCCAATAAAACTGGAGTCAGGCTACATACATTCTTTTCCACTAATTCATTTAAATCCAGAACTACCAACAACTGTCTCATCTTAAGAAAGAGCGAAGTGCTACACTTACAGGGAAATCTGTGAAAGAAAGATTTCCTGTACATTCAGCCTTATTCTAAGAGAATAAACAATGAAATAAAGAAAAAATAGTCCAGAAAATGTATCTGCACGTGCATTTTAAACGATTCAGTTAGTTCGACATTCATAAGATCGCCTTTTCTCATTATCTTGTTAGTGGCTGAAGTTGTAAAGATGCTCTAGCTGAATAGGATCAGCTCCAGTTTGACTCATCTAAAGCCATGACAGGTTGGCTCATAAGTTGAAACCAGATGGAACTGAATATGCTTTTAAGCGTGTAAACTATATTAGCTTGGCTTGTGAAGCTCACTAGTAGCATATCCAAGACCATAAAATTTACTAAGGCAGATTAAGACAAGGAGCTTTTTCTTTTTCTTTTTTTTTTATTTGAGAGAAAGAAACGACGTCATTTATCTTACGTGTTGTTGCTTTTCCCCAATTTACGCAGCATGGAGAATTATGTCATAGAGCTCTCTTTACTCTTTCTCCATTTTTACACGCTACGGTCATGTCTCTCTATTTCTTCACACTATCTCTTTCACCATAGAAAGTTTATTTTTGAACAAATAAGTAAGTTTAAATAAAAACATTATTTTTATATATATACTAAAAGGTATATAGTAACCATTTGGTTGACCAAAAAATAATATCAATTAAAATGTTTACGAATCGTTTAAATAATAATTTATTGATGGGGTTAATCCAAGAGTAAAAGTGTGAATTCCATACATATATTATTGAAAATATGTTTAAAGAAAAATAAATTTTAAAAAATGAAGACCAAACATGTTAACAAATGAATATATTTATTTTTCGAGAAATGAATTTTTTTTTTTTTTTTTTTTTTTTTTTTTTTTTTTTTTTTTTTTTTTTTTTTTTTTTTTTTTTTTTTTTTTTTTTTTTTTTTTTTTTTTTTTTTTTTTTTTTTTTTTTAAAGTAACCAAATATTTTATTAATCAAGGGATAATAATACATAGGAATTGTATCGTTACTTAAGTTCAAGATAAGTTCAAAATCTAAACCGTCTTATCATTCATTTAGCACCGAAAGTGTCCCACTTTATACCTGCAGCAGCTGCACAAACTATTTGACATTTGTTCTTTTAAAATAGCTAAACCATGATACTATAGAAGCCCATCACACCTACATAATTAAGCTTCCATTTAAGAAGAATTTATAAATGGCTAAATTCATAAATAGATATAAATGAGTGGTGCATAAGTGGATACTACTTATGGGTATATTGGAATGTGTGGTTGAAAATGAAGTTTAACCATTTATAAATTAGCCAAACGGGAAGGCTAATATTAATTCCTCCAGAACTGACATGGGACATCACAAATATCCCATTAGATGTGAAGTAATTCCTCTCCCATTCCATGACTGCCCAATCGATTGGGCTCCTGCCACCCATCGTACCCTAGAATTGGCTCTAATACCATAAATACGCTCGAACCATGCAAGGGATGGGCCCACATGCAAGAATCTGACTGTGGACTCTACAGAACTATTTTGTATTCCTTTTCACTTTACTAAAGTGGTTGACCTAATTTTTACTGAGGCCCGTGAAAGCCTAGTATAAAGAATGTCACGTTCTCTTCTGTAACCAACTTCATATGTGACAGCAGGATCTAATAGAAGCACATATTATTTTCTCCCTCCAGCACAACTGCTTCATTTGCTAATAAAAACGTGACTGGATTAGCATAGTGGATAAGCCCCAGCATATCTATAACTTAGAGCCCCCTGGAAGGGGTTGACCCCTCCTACGCGCCAAACCACTCAAATCCAACTAATAAGAGGATACATATGTATGCATGTATATAC